TTTCCCCCCTTCATTTCTTCCCCTGCTATCTGCTTCTTTTTCTTTTTTCTTAACATATGTTGCATTATTTGTTTCAGAAGTACAGATCTTTGATTCAACAGTCTTGCACAATTCACAGTGCTCACCATAGCACATACCCTCCCCAATGCCTATCACCCAGCCACCCCATCCCTCCCACCCCCCACCACTCCAGCAACCCTCAGTTTGTTTCCTGAGATTAAGAATTGCTCATATCAGTGAGGTCATATGATACATGTACCTTCCTTTCTCTTAAGGGAAGGGACAGGTGCCCACAAATGGGCCCAGACTAGTTCCTTTCTAGCTCAGCACTTGCATAGCTGGTGGCTTGGAGGGATATATATTTACTTAAGTGATATGTCTGTATCCTTCTTTTGTTAATCTGTAATTGATATCCCTTCATACTCATTGCATGAAAAAAAAAAACACCCTGAATTTCCTACAAATCTTTTTTTTGTGTGTGTACCACACATATTTCAACTTGTCTTCATCTCATGAAAACATTATCAATTTCCTGTTGACTTGATTTGTCTCATGGACGTGCTATTAGATCTCATGACTAATGCACGCCACCTTCTGAAGAGGACCTAAATAAGCTACCTGTAATTCTAGTTCTTTTGTAATGGAACCACGTCTGGTTTCTCTTCCTGGTCTAGTTAAGGCAGGTGATGTGGAGGTAATTTTTCTATCCCCTTCCCCATGGGGGTGGGGTGGGGTTAGGTGCCCATCCCCCGCACTGCACTTCTGTGTCAGAAACAAAAGAAATATGATATCCAAAGGGTTTCTGGGGAACCGTAATAAATAGTTTTCACTTATTACAGCTTTTATAGTTCAATTCTCCAAGGTGCATAAAACCAGCACATTGAGGTAGGGCAAATGAGTCTAAGCGTCGGATCTCAGCTTTCTTGTCTCATAGTATGGCCCAGAAAATACCTGAACCTCTGTGTAAGCCAACACCAAGGTTAAAAATACCTCTGTCTGCTCTGGCTGGGGGAAAGTGGGGCTGCACCTTGGAGAGGAGCGGTTAAGGCCACAGGTGCCGCTGCCTGACCAGGGCATTCTGCTTCTGGAGAGCTGCCCAAACACAAGGGGAGCCCACCACACACTTCCCCTAGAAGCATAGTGGACAGTCTTGAGCTGTCATAGAAATTTCAGAAGAACTGAGAAAGGCTTTCTCCTGGGCAAAATACCTTCCCTTGTCTAACAGCCCCCTAAAGTTCTGATGGATGCCTGTAGCTGTAGACATGTGAAAATCCTCCCAAGAATGGTAACATATATCAATGTGTGAAACAAACAAACAAACAACAGGGCGCCTGGGTGGCTCAGTCAGTTAAATGTCTGCCTTCGGCTCAGGTCATGATCCCGGGGTCCTAGGAAGGAGCCCCACATCGGGCTCCCTGCTCAGTGGGGAGCCTGCTTCTCCCT